GGTCACGGGGAGCTCACTGACACGCTGTGTCTGGAGACCTGCTCCCGTCGCAGGGCCCGGGCTCCCCACGCAGCTTCTTCCACAGCAGTCAGGAAACAGGAGGAAGGGAGAGAGAAAATGGCTTCTTCCCTCCCACACTTAAAACCTCTGTGCTTGCTTAATGTGTCCGTGTTCCGGTACATTCCGTTCTCTGAGCACTTGTGTAGGACGCCTGCTTTGTGTGAAAGCTCCTTGTCTGCATGTGAAACCGGCCTTCCGTTCCTGAGCAGGTGGACGTTTCAGCTGGCGTGATGGCCACACAGGCGCGGGGCCTGGGGAGGAGCAGGGCGGTGCTGGGTTTGGACGTCTGTCACAGAGCCACGCCATCCAGCACTGACGCCGGAGACCTGGGGGTGTCCTCACCTGTGCTGCACAGTCTTTCCTTTGCTCTGCACCTCTGTGTGGCCATGATACCAGCTTAGATTTCTAGCAGCTTCAAGTTTGGGAAATGCTATTTTGCTTTCTGTAACACTGGTATAAAATAGTTTGTTTACTCTCAAATATATATCTCTCTCATCATTTTGCTCTGCAAAATGCAGTGACCCTGTGAGGTGCCTTGTGGTAACAGACATGGCAGGAGCTGCCGTCCCTCTGTGGCAGAGGACGCTCGGGCTGCCTTGGGAAAGGGGCACAGGCTGTCTCTCAAGGCCTCGGCACTAATTCACTGGCAACTGAGGCCCAAGTCAATAACATCAAACTGGTGCCCTCCCCTGTCCCCGCCAGCGGGGCCACCCTGCGTGCCCAGGGGTCCTCGGATCTCACCGAACTTGTGGCGGCCTGCGCTGTGTACATTATCTATGCATTTCAGTCTTGGCCACTCTGTGGAGCCCGCTCACGGCGCGGCTGGGCCCTCTGATCTGGAAGAGCTGGTCTCCCTCCTCCTCCACCCTCACCTACACGTGTTCAGGCCCTTTTGGGGTCCAGCTCAGTAGGACTCACCCTAGTCTACCTGAGACAGCCCTTCCACTGGACCAGTGCACTCGGCTCCGATTCCTTCATCAGACACTCACCCGCAGCGCACCCTCCCCCACCGCTGTGTGCCCGCGGCTAGGGCAGACCTTGCCGGCGGGTAAGAACATTACAGGTCTGCTCCTTTCTTCTGTTTCTACACTCTGGTGCCTGAAAGGCTAAACAGCAACGATGATGATGACGTTCGAGCTGCCTGTTAGAGCCGCCCGCACACCTGGCGCGGCTGAGAGCGTTTCACACGGATGGACTCACCGACCCCGTGAAAAGCCTCTCTGCAGCAACGCCGTTATTAGCTCCTCTTCATCAAGGGCCAGGACCCAGTGGAGGTGACCCGTCACAGAGACGCTGCAGGGACGGAGCCAGGGGCCTTCCCGGTCACCGCACCGGACCACCTCCTGTGTTGGGCGGCGGTGCGTCCCGGATCAGAACCTGCTGAATGTGCGTTCAGACCCAAGCTCCCCCATGTTTACTGGTGTGGCCTCGCCAAGTTTTGTTATCCTCTGTAAAGTGGGGACAGTTCCCTCACAGGCATGTCAGAATAGTTAAAAGAGATCAAATATAAAAAACACTTAGAACATTGTCGAGAAAGTAGGAAGTGGCTACCAGGCAGGTCACGATTCTGACCCCTGATCTGAACCTTAGCATAGTATCCGCATTGAATGCCCACTATTACCTGTGCGTCTCCTGTGGCAGTGCCCACTGCTACCTGTCTGTCTCCTGTGGCAGTGCCCACTGCTACCTGTCTGTCTCCTGTGGCAGTGCCCACTGCTACCAGTGCGTCTCCTGTGGCAGTGCCCACTGTCGCCTGTGCGTCTCCTGTGGCAGTGCCCACTGTCGCCTGTGCGTCTCCTGTGGCAGTGCCCACTGCTGCCTGTGTGTCTCCTGTGACAGTGCACTGCATATCCTACAGATAAAACATGCACGGGTGTAGGCTTCATGCTCAGGTGTCTTGGAGTCGGAAACTTTGACTGCTGCTCCGAAGTCGAAAAAGATGAAGTAGAAATAGCTCACGGCTGGTGAAATGTGATTGAGGAAGGAAGGCAGAGTTGTGTGGGGGCTGGTGGGAGAGGCACATACGGAACCAGGACCTCATCCAGGCCGGAGCTGAGGGAAACCCCAAAGGTGCGGGAGAGAACTGGGCAGCTTCTGGCGCGAGAGGCAGAGGAACTGTCCGCACGTCCTCGCGGAGGCCCAGAGGACTGGATTTCCTGAGTCTCTCTCACTGCATGATTGAGTTAACGTCATTTTCCCTGAGCGTCTTCACAAGTGACCAGGATTTGATGAGCTGTCTGTGCTTACAGCCATCTATTCCTTATTCCAGCTTTTTAAAGGCAAGATCTGTGTCCGTCTTCTTCTCCCTAGCCCCTAGCACAGGACCAGAATTGAGGGTGTCCTCAATGAACACTCACCTGATGAATCTTACTGCCCATAGGCAGCTGAAAGGCCTGCGTTCGGACAGGGTCCTGCATGCTTAAGTTGGTATCACTCATTTTCAGCATCTTTCTAACACCGTCACCTGGTTTGATGTGGTCCAGATTGCAAGAGGCAGACCTGCTCCTCCTCCATACAGGAGCCTGCAGTGGCACGGTTCACACAAGTTCACGTACATGTATGGCCAAGGGCCTTGAATAAAAGCCTCTGAAAAAAGACATCAGAAGTTCAGAGGGGAAAAAATAATTGGCTCGCAGATCTCAACAAACTAGCTGAACAAGTCTTTATGGAATTGTTTGATTGGCCAAAAAGTGATTCTGTATTGAGACGAGTTTGGACAAGGTTGACAAAAGAAATGTTCAGTCCCCAATTTGACTTTAGAGCATTTGCAGAAGACGGGTAGGCACCAGGACCTTTAAATGTTATATATATGCATGTATATATATTCTGCATGAATGGCAAATTTTTAAATGAGGAGAAAAAAGCATTCTAACATAATTCCTCCTTTATTTAATTCAGAGTCCAAGAAAAATTGTCTCTGAGACACTTTATTCTTATTCAAGGAAGATTCAACTTTTGCTGTTCCCTCAAATGTTAGTATTGATAATGACTTTTCTTTGTACTCTTAAAAGAGAGACATGATTTTAAGGGAAAACTCAAGATGGGTTAAATTTTGTTCTTTAACATCGAGCTTCCTACTTTTCACATCATGTACACCACTGGAACGTTAACTCCAATTCAGTGGTTTCAGAAAAGAGTTTTTATTTTTGATAATACCTGCTCATCATCTTTAGGCATAAAAACGAAGGACGTGCAGGCATTTTTTTAGACTGTCATAACGTTACATAATGGAAGTGACTTTTCAAGTCTAATTTTTTAGCTCTGTGATAAAATTAAGTACACTCGAGAGGAATTCTAGCTTTTTTTCTGTATTAGATGTATTGTTTACAGAAATGGATTATTACAGGCTGAAAAAATACTGGAAGCGAGAAAACAGATGGTATCTATTGGGGTCAGAAAGGTTTTTGAAGGAAGCCCTTTGTGCTGCCTCTGTTCTAATCATCCAGTCGTCCAACAAAAGAGCTTCAGCTCAGTGTGGGCTCTGGTTCCCCCTCCGATGGGACGCTCGTGGCGAACAGCGGTGGAATTGGCTTAGGAGCCGGCACCGCCCAGTGCTTCCTACTCTGGGCGGACGGACAGCCTCACCCCCTGCGTCACAAGGGTGGAATTCCCCAGACCTCCACTCTGTCACACTCAGTCCGCCCGCTTTCGGAGGAGAAACGTGTCTCTTTCTTCCTGACACCACAGAGGAAATGGCCCTCCGCTTATTTATTTCTTTAATGGAGGGACTGGCAACCGGACCCAGGACCTCGTGCACGCTCAGCTCGCGCTCTGCCCCCGAGCTGCACCCTCCCCGTTTAGATCAGCCCCTCCCCGATGGGTCCGGCTCCTTTCCGCCTGCTGTTGCCCGATCCTCACTTCCGTTGTCAGCAGCCCCTTCCTGCCCTGCATCCTCCCGCTCTGGCCAGTCAGTGCCTTCCCTCCGTCGGTTTCTAGACCGTCTGAGTCTCCTTCATCCTACAGCGGATCTCCTTCCGCCTTTGCCACCTCTCCAGCCACTGCTCTGCATCCTCTCCACGAGACAGAAGGAGCAAAATCCCCGCGTGGCTGTCTCAGCGCCCTCTCCTCACCTCCCAGACTCGACTCCTCTCAGGCAGGCGCCATCGCTTCTCTGTCACATCCAGCCTGCAGGCGTCGTGAGTGCCGTGGTGCCAGCAGAGCCAACGGGGAGTTTTCAGTCCGCATCTCGCTGAACCTTTCAAGAGCCTCTGTGCACCTTCCTCCTGAAACTGTCCTCTCCTGTGGACTCCACTGCCTTCCGCCCCCCGCCAGCCTCCGTGGCTACTTTATCCTTGTGTGCGCACCCCCCTAAATGAGGGGGGTCCTCGGGATTAACGACAGGTACCCCCCCGTCTTCACTCCACTCCTTATTTAGGCAACTCACGGCTTCAGACACCATCAGATGTCAAGTTGGAGCTCCAGTGTGAACACGTAGCTCAGCAGTAGAGCGTGTGTTCAGCATGCGTGAGGTCCTGGGTTCAATCCCAGTATCTCCATTAAAAAAAAAAAAAGATTTAAATATGTAACC